GGTGACGCCAGGAGCTTGACCTCGGCCTTGAGGCGCTCGATCTCGATCTCCCCATCCTCGATCTGCTGCCGGAGTTGCTTGGCAACGGTCTTCTCTGTCTCCACGATCTGCAGGAGATGGAGGTACTTCTGCATCAGCGCCTCATGCTCCGTCGCCAGGTTCCTGTAGCTGCAGCAGACACGGCTGTGAGCATCCCATCCCCGCGGACACACAGCCCCCTGTGCCCCCAGGACGCGACCCCACCATCAGGGCTCTGTGGCTTGGCAAGGGATCCTCCACACAGTGCCCTGGCCCCTCCAAATGAGGGCACCACAGAGGGAACAAACCAGGGGGCAGTTCCTGCAGCTGGGAATGCTGCTCAGGAAGGACCAGCCTGAGAGAGGACACTGGTTCCCCATGAGGGGCAAATGGAAAGGGCAACACAAAGTTTAATGAAATTGCAAGGGACAAAAAATCCAACCAAACACCCATGGCCAAATCTCTGTCACCTGCCACATTGCAAGAGTTTAAGGAGGAGGAGGAGGACAGTATGGCACAAGCTCTTACCAAGGTCTGTTCTTGTCAGAGGCTGCAGGAGGTGAAGATTCTCCCATCCCCTGCACACAGCTCCCACCTGCCCCCACACCTCACTGCCAGCCTGGCACACTCCTTCCCCAGAGAGGCACCTGCACTGTGCTGGCTCCTGACTGCTCTCTCTGGCAGGTGGGCTGTGCCAGCATTCCCCTGGCACAGTGACAGGAGCCTAGACAAACACGTTCCTGACAGGTTTGTTATTCTAGGTGAATCCTTTTCCAATGGGCTTTGAACCTGAGGGTAAATTGGGCATCCCTCCTGCACAAGGCTGGGACAGGCAGCATGTGTCATCATTCCCATGGGACTGGGATGGGGACAAGGGAACAGCTGAACAGAGCCCCCTGCTTAGCACAAGGGTCCCCAACACAGTGCTGGGGGCCAAAAGAGTTCTGCTCTGCCTCCTGGCAGTGCCCAGCTCAGTGGCATCCTGCCCACAGCCCCCCTCAGCTTCCCTCTGCATGGCTTCACCTTACCCTGCCATCCCCACGGGGACATGGCCATACCTGGCATGAGCTATAGCTGCCACCCACTCATCGCAGTCCTTAGCATCCTCAGTCCTCAGCTCCAGGGTCTTCTGGTTCTCATGGTTGAAGTTAACGGTGAAGTAGTGCTGCAGGGGCAAGCAGAGGGGTTTAGGGTTACTCCATGTGGGCTGGCAGAGAGCACTTTATGACCCACCACAGGTTGGTTCATTTAGACAAACTGGGAAACACTAAGAGTGTGGGCAAGATGTGCAGCCCTCAGCACAGCTGTGCCACTGGCAAGGATAGGGCTGGGAAACACTCCAAGAGGAAGTCCTGCTGGGCAGAGATCTGGCTTCAGGGAAACCTGAACCCACAGAACCCATCTAGGCCCAGGGGCTGCAGTCCTGAGCCTGCAGCAACTGCCCTGGGGACAACCTGAGCTGGGGAACGCAGCATAGGAGTGAGAATGCTGAGCTAGACCTGCATCCACAGGTTAATGGCTGGACTCAATGATCAAAGAGGATCCTCAGTGATCAAAGAGGTGTTTTCCAGCCTTAACAATTCCATGATCCTATGATCCATGCCT